TTGCTTAAGTTTAGAGTTTGGAGTTAGAGATATTAATATTTGTTTACTTGTAGTTGAATGTTAGCCTAGGTTTGGTTTGGGAAGTCTGGGGGGTAGGGGGATGGGATAAATCATTGTGTAATACTTGTGATGTATTTTTTTGTTTATGATAAAAACAATAAAATTCTATATTGAAAAAAAAAAAAAAAAAAAAAAAGAAAATTGGACTGAATCATTAATCGAAGATACTATAACATCTTTCCTCATTTTTGTTGATTTGTCCTTCCTCTTTCCTTCTATAAATGTTAAGCAGTGATCTGGCAGTGACATCTGTCACCCCCATAGGCTGGCTAGGCAGAATTTTTGTTCTGATTTGTCTTTCCTCTTTTCTTCACTCTTATATATTTTGTACTATTCAGTTCTGCAAAACCTGAAAAATTATTCTCTATGTAATGGATGTGTTCATTGCTAGCAATAAAAACACTGCCTGACTGTGGATTTTGTGGTTTGTTCTATGTTTGCTATTTTCCATTCAGGGACCACGCCAATATATCAGTAAAACACTAGGTAATGACATGTATTTCTCATATTTGTGTACTTTAAAGCTAACCTTTTTGGAAAGAGGAAGTGGATCACCAAAAATATGTGCTTCTGCTTCAGCAAAAAGGCACTATAAAAAATTCAGAGGTGCTCCATCATTTTCAAGCACAACCAATCAATGTAATTACCTTTGTCATTAGTTCAAAGGAAAGTAGATATTCACTTTCCTACCTTTGGCTAATCAAATACTGAGTCCCATAAAATAAGTAAAGGGTATACATAAAAAAAAAATCTTCTCCCTTTCAATAGAAAAAGAAGGGAGTAGAACTACACGTTTAAGAATTTATCTCATTCAGCACTCTACTTCTAATAATATCTAGTTTGAAGCCTCCAAGAATTCACATGCTCGGAGAAGATCTTATCTAATGATGTTCTTGAAGGAGAAAATGTGATTGATGGATTAATGATACTAATGAAGATTTTTTTCTCTAATTACAATGTCTTATAAGAAGCTATTAAGCATTTCTGATGAACCCTACTGTGCTTACCCGAAAAATTGCATGAGATCGTGAAGAAGTGGCATTCATGTCTGTGGGGTGCTGTGTACGGTTCAGATTTCCTTGCTTTAGCATCTCTAGAACCTGCATAGCAGATTTTGGCTAAAGGGATGAAGGGGAAAAAAGATTTGGTAAGACACTCTTTGCAGCTACAACCTCTACAAAAAGGCTTCCTAAATATTTACCTCCACAAAAGGATATACACAGATCTTTTTGGAAATAGCCCATAGACTTCCTTACATGACCAATACATGACAAGTGTTCAGAGTGGTTCTGATTCCATTTTGCTGTATGTAATAAGCAAGCTGTATATTGCTGCAACTTGTCATTTGGAAGGATAAAGTCTAAGGAGCATCAAAATCTTATTCAAAGGAAGACCTAATAGCTTAGCCAATGAGAACTGAAAAAAAAAAATCTGCAGGAACTGGGCTATTGACTTTATTATCTAGCACCAAATTCCACATGCAAGAGGCATAGTAAAAAATTATAGCAACACTTTCTGGCTGACTCTCTCTGTGGAAATTAACATTAGGTACACCCTAACTCCTTCTTTTTTCTCTGCCCATCCTTATTCACAAAACCCTTCTTCAAACTTTTGCTTATTTCCCTCCTCCTTTCAGCTTTGCTTATCTACTTCTTTACTTCCATCTGATTTTATCTGGCCCTTTTTTCATGACCTTCCTTAACCACAATGTGGAATAAAGCTCTCTGAGGAAGCATCAAATCACTGTGGTCTGTATAGCAATTTATATAGGGCTGAAGCTATATCAACATTATATGAATAATTGAAAATAACTATTCACTCATGAAATGCATGCTATCCTTGAAGTTCATAAAGTGTAAATATCACACTTACCTTATGAACTGAAAGACCTTGCACCAAGATACCTTTCTCTGGATCTTCCCGGATAGCTAGTGGACCCTTTGGTTCCAAAAGGTCATAAATCTGCTCATTATATACCTAGAAGCAAAAGTCATTAGTCAATCTTTGTTTTTTTAAGACAAAAACTGATTGCTTTGGATGTCTCAAAGTTCAGATTTTAATCAGAAGCCAAGGGCACAATCTTTTTTCAATCCAAAGAACCAGAAATTTGTCAATTACTCTGCTTCTTAAACCCATGAAAAATAAAATAGGTAATTAGTGTTTGGGGAAACTACACAGTTAAGCACTGAGGAAAATGCAGCATCTTTAGGTGCAGGCAGGCACCTAAAAATCTAAAGCTGATTACTTATTGAGGAAAAAGTACAACATCCCCAAATAACTACATTCTAACAAATTTCTTTTTATATATTGACACTGCAAACCCAGAACTGAGTATTTTCATTGGGCATTCTATTAACGTGGCAGCCAAATTTATTTTTAGTTTTTCAACCTTTTCCTTAAATAGGCAATGAACCCTAATAGGCTTTGACTGAAAATGACTGCTTCCAATTTTAGCATGTGTATAAAATGCAATCTTTCAATTGGATTTACTCATGGATTTGCTTAGGATTGTAGCTATAACTGTGCAGAGAGGTGCAAACACATGTGTGTGTGTGTGTGTAAGTAAAAATTGATGTATTTAGAAAAAATTCAGTTGTCAAACTTCTTAAAAAAAGGCTACCCTTTGTATTGGTAGAAGGATTTCTATTCATAAAAGATGATGGCTCCTAGTTTCCATCAATTACTCCTACATATTGTGGCTTTTTGTACTGTATGCCTTATTGTTACAGATGGTCCCTCAGCTCTGACTTTTGTTGGGCAAGGTGGAGTAAATCATTCTACATAAACAGAAGATCTTTTTACGTTATCCAGTGATAGATTTATGCCATAAAAAGTATGTGGTTTATTTTCATAAAAATGGTTTGTAGGTATATAAATAAATAAAAGATTTTATCATCCCAAATACATAGTTAAATAATTTTAAATGAATGATTCTGGTAACTCTCCTAAAGACATAACAATTAAAATGTGGCAGAAATGGCAAGTGAAATATTTTCACGGTCCTGACATCATGCACATTATTATATTGCATGAACTCAGAAGGAAAAAAAAATGATTCTGCAAATTGGCAGCATCTTCAGGACATATATAAAGGCCAGCATGCTATTCTAACACTCTGCCCTCCAGTTTTTGAATAAAAAAAGTGCATTCTTGACATTTCCAATACTGTCACTATTTCCACCAGCATCAGATACAACACTGGAATATCTGATAGTGCAGTATTCATCTACACATTTCCCCATCTACCATTTCCCCAATAAAAGCAACACCTTTGAATAAAACCTGCATTGAATCAATAGTTATGTGCGCATATATGCCACTGGGGCATATCTAGACTTGTTAAACTAGAATACCACTTTATAGAAGGCATGAACACTGCCATTTTATTAAGACAGAAAATGTAACAAAATGGAGTGACATTTCTCTGGAAGAAATACCTAGAGATGAACAATACCTCTTGATAGGAGATGAACACCTCACAGAGTTTCTCTTCCTTTTTAACCTCTATTTTCTTATACAGCTCCTTCATAGTGAGGTACATGATACCAGGTTCCTTTTCTGATCCCAGCATGGTATATGTTTTACCAGCTCCTGTTGCACCATATGCAAATACTGAAAAAGAAGGAAGACAATCATTCAGAAACATTTCCCAAATATAAATATTAATCCTAAGATGTCTCAGAATCAAGAGAGGCTAAAACCACTCAGGCCCTGATACCAAAATACCTGAAAGAACATACATACATCCTTCTTTCTTCCCTTCAATCTATTTTCAGCCAACTTTATTTTTCACCCAGCTGTAGGTTTCCTCTACAGACTGAAATTCCAAGAATCTGGATTTCAGATTTAGATTTTGATTATGTTCCATCAAGTAGTTTTCAACCCCTAGTTATCACTGAAGTTTTGACAATATTGCTAAACAAACTTTCAAGAGCAGAAGTGTTCAACTTTAAGAACTGAAACAAGAAAGATACATGAGTTATGGCACCTAAAATTAATTATTCTTACATAAATGTGCAGTGGATTATAACTATATATTTTTTTTAAAAAAATCAACAATTGTGTCTTATTCCTAAAGAAACATTTGCTGCATTGTGTAGCAAATGTACACATTCTCAGCATCTACTTGGAGATGGAAGAAATAAAGCATCATTATGCCTATGACCTCTTGGCTAGCACCTCTTCCAGGGAAGTACAAAGAGCCCTCCTGAGTAAATCCAAAGACCCAGCAGCCCCAGAAGTAAAAAAACAGGAGTCATTTATAATCTACAGTGTACGGACTGTAACAGCCACTATGTAGAACCAATAGGCAGAAGATTAGCAGAGCACATTTATGAACACCAACTAGCAGATGTCATTATGAAAATATCCTTAATATCACAACACATGGACAGACTCAACCATAGTTTCACCTGAGAAATTGAGTATCCTAGATCAAGCCAAGTCTAAAAATGTCAAATAATTCCTCAAGACTTGGCACCTGGACAAATCAATCACCCACACAGGCACATAGAGATAAACAATTCAAAAGTGACAATCAAAAAGCCCAAAAGGAAATAAAAAGCTCCAAATACCGTCTCATCAGCAATCGATACCCATATGAGCAGAGATTAACCCCCTAAATTAATACCAGACAATCAAGTAAATAACCTAATCAAGGAACTATTAACACAAAAAAACTAATAATAGCCTAATCAAGGAATCAGCAAGAACACTCCCACTAACACTGACAGGGCAATCCACTAAAATAAGAGCAAACCCTACTACTTTCTAGCATTGATGTTATCTAGTTATCTGCAAGAAAACCATCAAACTCAGAGAACACAAGGACCCAAAGTTCAACACTGAGCTACAAATATCCTCTTCTAAAGTGCAAGGAGTTAATTACAAATATTACAAAAATTATCTTTGCCCGGTATTGAGAAGAGTCTGGAAATAGAATTGGCTGATATTTTCAATATTAAATTGAAACCAACTGACACTGCATTTTTACTAGATTTATATCTCGCCTGTGTTAGATTAAAATCCCCATCATTTACAGACAACAAGGCCAAAGAACCAGACTGACACAATTAGATATGATTAATGGAAGCTTAAAATTTAGTTCAATGAGTGTTAGTGGAAAGTTATTCTCCTTTTCCTTATATTTTTTAATGTTAGGCAACATACTGTTTTTTGCAATGCTGCTATCATATTGGCAGGCCAGGAAAATAGATTCCTTACCAGAGCAATTGTAGCCACTCAGCACACCATTCAGGATCTCTTTAGTTGTATTCTCAAAGACTTCTGCTTGGGTAGCCATTTCTCCAAAAACCCGGTCAAAAATAAACTTCATATTCTTGCCTTTCTTCTGGGAGACAGACTCGTGAATTTGGAAGCCCAGCAGGCTTGATTTTTCAGGGTCAAACACCAGCATGTTGTCACTCAGCACCTGCACTGTGCTTTGGCGGTTTCCTTCTTGCTCCCGTGAAATCTGTGGGCGCACTCGGACCACAACTGTCACATTGCCTTCTTCAGATGGTGATATGAGCACCATTATTAGAGAATGCTGTGTCAAGGACAAGATGGGAACACATTGATACATGCAATATCAGATTCATATCTTTCTTAAACCCGAGAAACTGAAGAGCTCTTGAAAGGTCTCTCCAACTGGGCATAGAATATATCAGAATATTGAAATCCTAGTACAGTTCAGCACAAATAGATAGATAGATAGATAGATAGATAGATAGATAGATAGATAGATAGATAGATAGATAGATAGATAGATAGATAGATAGATAGATAGATAGATAATAAATATCTACCCATGTAGCTTTTCTCAGAATTCTTTCCAAAGTCTCAACAACCTTCTTGAAGTTCAATGCCCAAGAGAAAGGACAATAAATTTGCTTGCTTTAATGCTGCGAAGGCAACAAATTTACAACTCAGCTCAGCCACAAGGGATTAAGGGCAAAAGACATTCACTGATTGATTGTACTGGCTAATCAATGCATTCATTTGTTGCAAGATTATAAATGTGGGTTTTAATAAGAGCTGTCTTTTCTGAAAAGAGCAATCACTTCTGATGGCTTTGTAGTAAGGAGTTTCTTCACATTCACCTTAAAGATTCAGACCATTTACATCAAGCTATTTCCTAGTGGTCCTAATTCCCATCACCTTATCAATTTTAAATTTAAGGGACAGACCGGAATTAGAACAAAAACAAAAGCTTAGGAAAATAGCGTTATGTAATGCAAAATTATAATAGGAAAACTTTTTAAACAAGCTATATAAGAAAAAGAATGTAGAGATGCCATATTTCTTTTTCATCCTAATGTGTTCCACTCTTTGCTATTGTGAGAAATAGCAGCCTCAAGAAAGTGATAGAAATACAAAAAAAAAGTATGTTGCTGCCCCAAAATAATTTCCTAACTTGCTTTGTAACATTTTTTAAAGAGACCCAGAAAAAAAGCAAAATAAAAAATGAGTATACAGTAGTCATATTCTATCTCTCTTTATAACACTTTTTATTAACAGTGGAGAGTTAGGAATGTAAAGAAACAGCCTGTCCCAACATTTTGCCCTTCAGATTATTGGCCTAATTGCGTTACGACAGAACTGAAGGGCAGCCAGGCATGGAAGTCTATCTTAGTAGGCACCAACACCCTTTTTCAAATTAACTTTGAACTTGTGGGCAACCCGACCAAGAATAAATAGCATTCGATTATATGCGATCAAAGTCGTTTTCGACCTACTAGCGATCCTAGGGACAGGTTTTCTCTATGACCATCCGTAACCGTTAAGGTCTACTAAAAAGCATACATACACTCCCTTTATTTCATAGGTAGATCTGACAGATTTTGAACACTTGAAACATGTTAATTATTAATTATAATATTAATATTAAATATTAAGCACGCCTTACTCCCAAGTTATTTCTTCAAGTTTGTCTGTTCCGAACCGCCACCCGCTTTCCCCAAACGAGAACAGCTAGTTTCGGTACCGACTCGGGCCCTCAACAAGAACTATGTACTTGTAAGCATAAGGCAGTCCGTGAACTGTTTCGGCCGCCGACGAGATCTAGAAATGGCAACCGAAATCTAGACGGTCACTAAACTTCACCCGATCTTGCTATCTTCGACCTCACGGCTGTTGGATAGTGAAGGATCCAGAAAGGATTAACCACAAGGTCCAACGACCTCTGCGAACAGCGTCTCCCACTGTGTAACTAATCCACTTATAAAGGGGAGCAGACCCATAGGACGCTCAATCGCTCCCTTGCCAAACAAATCAGCCACCCCACTTTCAGGGAAATACCGCTATCTTCCCGCCCTCAACCACTTATTGAAACACACCACGACTTTTTCCCACCTCCAGTTCAAATCGTCTGTCACCGCCTACTTATTCCCTTCCGATTGGTCGGCTCGGCTTTCAAATTTCTTCTAATTGGTCACTCATCTTCATCTGAATTGCGCTATGCATTCTGGGTAGGAATGGAGACAAAGCGAGTCTGGTGTAGAAATTAGCCATTTCTCCGCAGCACAAACGTATAAAAAGTAGGATTGTAAATGTTGTTGAACTTCCGAGTTGATTCTCTTAACTAGGAGGAACTGAGATTCTGTCTCTTCCTCAAAGGCACGGATTTGAGAATAGACGAAATTAACGCTTTCTATACCTTTGCCTTCGTTCGCTTTCTATATCATTTCTTTTTACAGTCAGAACCGTTTTCGCAGTTACTGTACGTACGTTGGAGATTCTAAGATGCGTTACAAAAATAATTATTTCTACCGTATGCTCCTACGTCATCAACCTTGCAACCACCTTGTTTCATTCCAGGAAACAAGTAAAATACAGGATTGTATTATTGATGTTCGTTGAAAGATTCTTCTCAGCCACATGTCTGTTATACAATACTATAAATGAACGTCAAATCACGCTTCTTGTATTATAACCCTCTCTTGTAAAATTGAACATAAAACTAAATTGTATTTGTCATTTAGTGAAAGGGATTTTTAAAGACAAATAAATCAATTTTATTTAAGACAATCCTTTAAACTGAAGAATGTGCAGCATCTTTTGACTAATGGTTTCAAAAGAACACGGAGGATTCCACCCCAGTTTATTTATATAAAAAGCATAGGTGTTAGTGCGGTTACACTATATAAGACGTGCCAGATTCTGAGACTGAAATATTAGGTTTTAATATCGCTTTATTCTATTCCTTGCAGCCTGTAATTTAGCAACTTACCTGTCATTTAGCAATATTCAAGTACTCAGCATTTGCAAGAGTATAATGAAAAGTTTTTTTCTTTGAGCACTTTTGTATTATTAACCACTTGGCTAATAAAGGAGAATATTTGTAGCTCAGGGTTGAAATGAGGGGTCCTTGATGGCTCTCCGAGCTTGGTTGTTTTCTTGTAGATGTTTCATTACACAAACTAGATAAACTCTTTAGTGCTATCAGTACTAATTTTGAATCTTTTTTCTACAGAAAAATGGGATTTAAGTAGAAATGATATTGATACTAAAAAGTTGCAACTCACATAGAGTGTGTACCTTTTGAGGATAAAGAGAAATGGATTTTGGCTCAAAGAGAAATTTCAGAACTGGGCCCAAGCATTCTCCCTACCTTCAGAACTAGACATTAAATTATGAATTAATATTTAAATAAACTTCTGCATTAATTGAGTAGCATAGAAATCAGTTAATCACGAGTTTCTCCAAGATTAGCAAAAGGATAATGTTAAGTAATTCAGACATTACTAGATAAAATTATGTTTCTACAGTGTGTACCACAGTTCAATTGGATAGATCAGTTTTGAGCTTATTAAAAACTCGTGCAGCAAATTAATTATCCTATGATACAGAAAGCATAGAAAGATACAGAAAGTTATTGCTGATTCAGATCTTCCTTTGGATTATAAGGTTGCTGTAAAAATTGTGAAGAATAAGGATTTTGAAGACAGAATTCATTACATACATACTATAATAATATAATTATTACTGATTTGCATAAACATAAGCTCAATATAATGTATCCCCAGAGTTCTCCAGAGCAGAAACAACTACTCGCAATGTCACATGATGTCGCGCAACATATTGGGACGGTTTTGTCATTGCCGGCAATGGGGTGGGCGCGGCTTCCGGATGACATGTCTAGCCCGTAGGTCAGCAGTTTGACACCCCTGAACTAGGGCAATGAAAGGAATAACAGTTATAGTTACTGCAAGGCTGCTGAAAGCTGGTTAACAGAAATGCCTCCATCTAAGAGCTGTAAATAATAAGCTCAGTGGCACGTATGCCCTTTGAACGCAACAAAGAACAAGGAGTTATCAATGTCTGATGTTTTTCTGCTATTCCATTCTGAAATAAAGAGTTCCCATTAGTAGAAAAATTCCTGTGCAAAGATGAGGTTGGTCAGCTGTCCTTCTTTTGCTCTTCCACGGACTAGCCTCTAGTCATTCATTCTCTGTGTCCAGAGAATTGTTTGGTTAAAAAAAAACCAGCCTGTCAAACCTTGTTAAATATCAACAATCTTGCAAAACAGAAAGGAATCAGACACTTTTTGTGCCCTGGATTATAAATTCCATTACTGCTCATAAATGACAAAGATTGAGTAATAGAGGAACAGAAATGAATGAGAAAATTAAGAGAAAGACAGGGAGAGACTTCGTTCAAATACAGCACAGTGACAGAGAAAGGAAAAAGCAGAAGCAACAGCAAATTTGCCAGGCCAAATCAAGGGTTATATTTTTCTCCATCAATATCTCTTAGTAGTTATTCCTAGCCCACATCTCCCACAGAACCATGTGTGGTGTCAAAACTTCTTGTTCTCTGCTTCCCTCATATTGAAGGAATGGAAGAGGAAGTGATTGACCTCTGTCAACTATTCTGTGAAAGTGCTATACCTCATTATCAACCTATATCTATATGTACATATAGGCAAAAAACCCTGTATTATACATTTTTAGATTAAATTTTAGACTGCATCAGAAGGTTTGGTGTTTGAATCATACAGAATAAATTCATCATGAAGAGTGAAGATTTATGCTCTGCAATCACACCAAAGCCAATTGTTATCCCTGCTTTTGGACTTGTCCTACAGCTTCAAGCATCTGTTAAAACCAAGCTCCTACATAACGCCATATATTATACTCAGGAACTCTGGTAGCTTTCTGACAATTGTGGGTAAAATATCAGTGACATGAGAAAAGATTTGAGAACTATTATTTCTAATGTTTTTTACAATAGAAAAGGGATTTCTAAAATGAAGATTAGGAAGAAGATTATAAAATCTAATTCATGTTGGCAATGTAATATTTCTCCAGTTTCTCTTACATATTTGATACAGAATTGTCAAGTAAATTTTGGGCTTCTGTCTACAATTGAAGCAGTTCAGCTAATGTCAGCCAAGTATCTCATACATTTTTCTATCAATTTCTGTGACATAAAGGAGTTCAGCCAGACATAGTTAGCTTAATTGGCTTCACCAACACAAACAGATTCCTTACTTTAATGTGTCTGCACTAATATGATTTAGAATATATATTCATT